CCGTCGTATCGACCTATATGAGTTTTATCAATATATATACCCAAGTATATACAAATACCCCTCGACGCGCATCACACGACTCTACAGTAGACGCCGCTATATGTTGCATATATATATATATATCCACCATTCTGATGTAAGTAATTCTGAAATCCAAGCAATGCTCGCCTTAGGTCCGAATCGGTTGTCCGGGTATCAATTGTAAATGGTTTTGTACTCATTACCGCGTTCTCTACACACACACAGCAGGTGCCCGGGCTGACGCTCTTAAACCACTGGAAGCCAATATCCACCCTGCGCCCTGGGCTCACAACACAGCAGCACCCACTGCAACCAGCCACCCCTATGTACGACATGCTGCAGAATTTGCACGACCCCACGCACACGCACACGTACACGCACACACACACGCACATACACATGTACACGCACACACACACGCACACACACACGCGCAAGCATACGTACGCACGCAGGGACATGCACAACACCTACATGCAGACGAGCTTTCGGATGACTCTGGGCGTTCGGCGGATATTGTGGAGCTGCCCTCGGACCACGTAATAAGTGAGCAAGAGACGGAGGACGATGGTAGCCATGGCAACCGGTCTGCGGGTACCCATGGCAACGCTTCTGGGGAAGGTCAGGGCGACCGACGGGGTAGTTTGAAGTTGTCTCCGCTCGACGCGAAGCGTACTCGGTTGCGCAGTGTGAGCTCATGTAGTGATCATAGTATCAAAAGGTACTTCGTATTGGCTCCTGCAGTCATGTGTCTACTTCTGTAAATATAACCCAGGCATGGGGTCATTTGTGATAGTATTCATGCTCTTGCCTACATACTCGCTTGTGTCGTATATTTCTGTATTGGTTTCTTCACATCTCTCAACTCTCCGCCATATGCACCTCAACACATCTTGAAGAAACAGTTGTAGTTCGAACATACATACGCTTTCTAACATGCGAGTCCTTCATTTTATACCGCATAAACTGATTACAGTCTGAAAGAGAAAGAGAAAGAGATACATAACGGACATGAGTCATTTGCCGAGAACGCCCTACCAAACTCTCATCCAATCCAAATCCCGGGATTCGATGTGGCTCGAACGATCAGATCACAACCCAATACCGACCACCAACCAACCAGAACGCAAAGTTATGGTACATCTCCACCAATCAAATCGCTAGTAAACGACAACTCACGATCTAAGAGTTCGCTAGGAAACTATATCAAACCCAGTCCATTGGCCATTGGCCGTAATTCTGTACCGGGTGCCAATACAGGTACAACTGACGGTACAACTATCGGTACGCACAACGGTGAGGATGAGAGCACGAATGACGGTATGGACAATGGCACAGATAGTGATACGAATACCAGAACACAGCCTACGCCACCCATAGCGATTTCACATAAGAAGCAGCCGAGTATTGGTAAGGCGCAGTTCTCGTTCGACGAAGACGTGTTTGGCTCCAGTATTGATGAGGACAGGGGTGACAGTTTCCATGGCAACCATCCGTCTGCACACCACCCAGACCCGCACGCATACCTGCATCACTGTGTGGAGGCACACACGAGCCAATTCATAAGTGCACAGATATCGGACTCTATTGACATGCATGGGAATACATACCAAGCTGCTGCGGTACATATGCCCCACTGCATAGAAGCCCATTCAGGGTCGTCGAGTGACAGTCCGGACAGTGTGTACAACCTTGATACAGGCCTGGAAAGGGCACATACACCCCAGTTTATGGATGCACATGTATCAACCGACAGCGTGTTTAGAGACGATGCGGCAAGTGTGGATGCGGCTTTGGCGTTCTTCGACAACGATGATAGGTGAGTAAAGTTGAGGTTGTTATTTACACACATATAGGTATGTACGATGTATGTGTGGATGGACATACATACACACACACACACACACACAC